CTTATTCAGGTTATTAGACTTATCCATTTTTAGGCCCAATAACACTATTTAATCTTGACAAAACTGAATTTGTTATTACATTAAATTTCAAAATTTCAATGTAAAAGTATATCCAATATTTAAATTGAGCAACAATTAAAAGTGATATTATAATATTATACATTTTATATTTCACGTTGATCGAAAAAATTCACTCTTAAATTCAAATGCAATTACAATTTTAATTGATTATTTAATAATTAAGTCTAAATAACATTAAAAAAATTCAAATCTTATATACTCGTCCAAATTTAATAAAAATAAAAGCAAATGTAATATTTAAAATCAAATTTAATAAAAATGAAAGCAAATGTAATATTTAAAATCTGATTGTGAGGTTATATAAAAAAAACTTTAATATTTTACCAAACTAATAATTTGCAAAAATAAAAATGTAATATTTTTCGGGTTGATTTAGATATCTGCAAATCTATTTAAATAAATCGAATCCATCCATTTAAGCATATTTAAAACAGAGGTTTGGGCCGATGAACCACAAGCCCATTTCAATTCATCTAAATTTAAAATTTGAGAATTTCTTACCCCACCCGTTGGGGTTCTTAGGCACCATGTGTGCTTCTAAAAATATCCCTTACTTTCGGAGATGTGTCTCCAGACGCACCTTTTTTACTTAACATTGGTTTTTTCCAAAGTTAAATCTACGAAATGTTTCCGTTTATATAGCTCCGGAACAAATCAGAATATATTCGTGCCAGAGTCCCTTCTCCTCCCTCATTCTTAATTTTTCAAATTCTCACTCTCAAACTCTCCAAACTCTCTCAATCCTCAAAAAAAAAAAAATTTCACCAAACTTAATTGTTTTCAATCAAGTTCAACAAGGAGCATTCATCTCAACGATCAAGACACTCCAAATCATTCAAATGCTCGATATAATCGGTAAGTTTTCGAGTTTTTGAGGTATTTTCGAGTATTTCCCGTAAACGAGTTAGAATATAGTTTTAGGGGTAGAAATCGTTAGATAGTTTTAGAAACATAGTTTAGAGACAATGTATATATTGTTTGATTGCTGAAACGGACGATCAGAGCTTCAAAAAATCAATTTTCATGGGTAGCGGACGCCATTGTCTTTGCTGTTAGAGTTGTAAGAAGTTCTGGAGCTACATCTACAGAACAAATTAACGTTAGAGAAATTCCGTAGATACAACTCCGGAACAAATCAAACTTTCTGAATTATAGGTTCTTCCGTAGATACATATACAACAGTTTTCCGCATGTATACATCCGGAAGTAAAAAATGTTGATTTTTTTTTCTTTTTTTCTTTTTTAATTTATTTGTATCTAATTGTTTTTTCTTGGTTATACCTTGCAGACATTATGGTAGACAGAGAAGATATATTGCGACTTGGACGGGTTTCACAACATGGATTTGTGAGATGCGAGTGGAGTCAGGCCATCATTACCAAGGGCGATACAGTTGAGGCACATCTTTCTTCATCACATGCCCAAGACATTTCCTCGACCTTGTATCCCACCCCATCATCAACTTCTTCATCCCGGAGGTGTCAGGATTCAGCTGAGGGTTCATCACAGACCCTGTCCTCCGCAGGCCTTATCGGGATACTCCTGGATCTCCTCCTGGCGATGATCCGGTGCCACCTCCAGAGGGTGATGGCCCACCATCGGAGGATGATGGTGACGACGATGATGGTGCGCCTGAGGGTTTCCTAGGGGGTCCCTCAGATATGTCTTTGCTGACAGGGTACGCTGATCATACTGCCAGGCGTGTCTGGAATGGAGAGGTAACATTACTCATATTGTTTCAATTTTTTCATTAGAAATTTATAATTTGTACCATTGTTTCTTATTAACATCGTTTCTTATTTATGGAAATTTTCAGACTTGTCAACCGCAGAAGTTCTATAACCATAAGAGGAAGATATTATCTTTAGAGTAGCTGCATGAGGCTTGATTTCAGGATGTCCTTATTGCCTCTGGATTGAAGGACCTTTGTGAGATCGGTTACAGCATGATCCACAATGGATGCTGATGGGATTTGCAGAGAGATAGCACCCTGAGACGTCCTCCTTCCATCTACCACACAATGAGCTAACAATCACACTAAATGACATCTCCTTTCTTCTACATATACCGATCAGTGGTACCCTCCTCCGTCACGGTAGGATGACGAAGGAGTATGCGAGAGAAATGTTGGTCGAGGAGCTTGGGGATGATCCGCTGGAGGAGGTGGATAAGACCCGATGGGCTCATGTCAGGTTCTCCTTTCTCACCCGTAGATTTGGTGAGGCGCTCGTTGATGAGGTTGAGATACACAGGTATCGTGTGTTGAGATGTTATTTTCTATTTTTAGTCGGCACTTAACTGTTTGTGGACACTTCCTTCACATATACGAATGTCGTTTACCTGAGGTACTTTTTGGATTCCACATGGATCCATGAGTACAACTGGGGGGGGGGGGGGCTACCCTGACTTACATGTATTCGAGGCTGGGAGAGGGGTATCTGTGGAAGACCAGGACTGTGGCAGAGAGCGTGACACTACTTGTGGTAACAATCTTATATTCTTCACCTTTTTTCATTTCTTTTTATTCTATATTCGAGATAATGCTTGATCCTGATATTTTTTATTTTCATTTCCGGTTTGAATATTCCAGCACTTACCCATGATCGTCGGGTGGAGGAGTGTGCCTAATTACACATAGCAGATGTCGCGTACCCGTGCGTTTCTCCCGCTCAGGGGGAACCAGGTGGTCGACCCTTATAGAGTCTATCTCGATCACTTGGCTGCTGAAGACATTCGGTACGACGTCTATACTGATCACCGTGCGACGCACCCATTTGACGACATCTCCCTATTCTCAAGATGGTTGGCATACAGTTCGACCATCACTGTTCCATATTGCCCGAGCGCGTTATGCGGCAGTTTGGCTACACTCAGACCATTCCCAGACACCCAGCTGTCTCCGCTCCTCTCGGCTTAACCTGTATGCAGATAGAGGAAATTTATGTCGACTACCAAAGGCACATGGTACCTGACGAGGCTCGGGCGACCAGAGCACCGACATACTAGAGCTGCGTTGATGGCTACATCACGTGGTTCTTCACCGTCTCACACCCCTACATGATGCCCACTGCCGAAGGATCATTGTCCATACCATCTCATCAAAAGATCTTAGAGGAGCAACAATCTCAATTGGACCACACTCAGGATGTCCTGCCTCGCTGTCGTCAGATAGTGGAGATGGGGCGGACAGACATTGCCGCTGGTTTCTTTCCTGAGGGGTCTGACCACAGACGTGTATTGGATGACATCATTACAGTGGTATAGGGGATACTTATGTACCGCAGGCATCACGCCAGGACGGGTGGGATCGATGGCCGAAGACGCAGATCGAGCGGTCAAGGAGGCGGGAGAGGCAGACGAGGCGGCAGAGGCATATGCGGAGGAGAGGATGTATGTGTTATCAGACACATATAGCAGTGACTGTGATGTTTTTTTGATGTACTATATTTGATGACATTGATGTACTATTTTTTTATGATGATTATCACATATTACTTCTTATATATATAGTATGTCATTTTATATTCATCTGCAACAGTTAATTTCCATCTGCGACCAACAAAATTTATTTTTTTAAAAAAAATCTGTTCTGATAAGATTTCGGATATGCATCTCCGAACTTTTTCCGTAGATACATCTCCGAAAGCATCCAGCATAAAGAAAAAAAAGGATGCCTTAGGATATGTATCTCAGAAAACAGGAGACATAAAAAGATTTTCGTTAAATGTCTAAGAGTATCAAAAAAAAATTAAAAAATTAAAAAATTCTCTAAATTTTTAGATTCAATTAGTGCATATTGAACCGGTTTGCGATTTATTGTACAACCCTGCCTTCAGCACTACTGCTATTTTGCAACAGAAGTTGAACAGATTAATAGATTATCACTTTAAATTCTATATTTCTTCCATAAATCACAGGTTACTTTATTACTTTCTTTTAACTACCTTTCCAAAAGAACAACTTTTTCTCTACCATATTTTAAACCAAAATTCTCAATGCATAAATCCATTATTTAAACATTAATTTTTTCATCATTATTTCTCCAACATCAACCAAATCAATTTAAACCATACAAATCATAAAGAAGAATTTTATTTTTAGGTAGTATCTATCCCTCTTTAACTCCATATTATAAAACTATCATACATGATCCTATAGATACTAGCAGAATGTAATGTCCAATCACTTGTATAGTAACACTTCTATATACATGTTAAAGGTATAAATAATCCACAAATAACAAGATGGTATGAGAAATAAAATATGCTATCATATAAGATATGAGAGATTTGAAGAATCCAATTCTATCTTAGTTTAAAGTCTAATCTTGATTCTCAAATTTATTCAATTGACAGATGTGATAAAAATAAAAGAGCATTTGTATTATGTGTTACTTAAATTATACATAAAGAATATTAGAATATGATGACAAAGATGTCATTCAAGAAATCCACATGGAGTTGTACTAGCTAGTACATTAGGTGTCTTATATTCTATACTCAAAAAGGGGTTTATTTTTCTTTTTGTAATAAATGGCATGATGTTGCTTATGTACATATGAAGCAAGGTGTCTTTAAGCATTCGTGCCAAAATTTTGAGTGATTTTAAGCATTATATTTTGGGCCGTTGTCGAGAGCGTATAAGCCGTACGTGCTCTATTTTTTTACATTTACACTCTTATTATCGACTAATTCAAAATGATTAATCTCACCGTCCACTAGCAGAAATGTCTACTCTTATTATTATGGAAAAAAAGATGAAAAAGCAAAGTTGAGACACAGAAAACTAGCTTTCACGATATCATTTGCTACATTGAGTCCAAAGTTTATGCATCAAAATTTGTCTCAACACCAAGCTTTTGAGTACTATTCTTAACATAACTAAAGGCTAAACAAAAAAGAGGTCACAAAAGGGAGTAACTAAATTGTGCACATTGACACACTGGCTGGCTTTGCTTGTAGCATCATAGGTTGCATTGAATTTCCAAGAACATCATCCATGTTCCAAAGTCCATCCCACAAAATTTCTTCATTTGAAGACTCTTGTGCATAAACATTACAATTACCATTACCATTGAGCATAGAGTAAGAGTAACCCTGCTGTTCCGGCGTATCTGTATACACGTTAACGATTTCTTGTGTCTCTTGAGATGTAGAAGGAACACTATAGTAGTCATTTTCATCAAGCAACAAGTCTATAATCCCTTTCATATCCAAATTGTATTGCAGTTGTTGTTGCTGCTGCTGAATTTGGTGCTGTTGCTGTTTCAACTGTTGTTGCTGCCTCTTGAAACAGCGATTTTTCGCCTTTTCAGCAGCATCAGATAGTTTTTTAGTCTTTTTCTTGAAATGAGTTCTCCAGTAGTTCTTTATTTCATTGTCTGTTCTTCCCGGCAAGCTTCTCGCAATTGTTGACCATCTGAAATGTTTATGATTTAGTAATCAACTAGACGCATTAACCCGGGAATCGGGAATCGACACAACACGAGTATTCATAGAGGAAATATTTAAGTTCAACAGAATGAGTTCAAATTTTTACCTATTTCCCCACCTAGCATGAAGCTCTAGGATTATGCTTTCTTCTTGTTGTGTAATCTGACCCTTCTTAAGGTCTGGTCTCAAGTAGTTCACCCATCTTAATCTACAGCTTTTCCCATTTCTTCTCAATCCTGTCAAAAAGAAAATGTGATCTATAAGACACTCATACAGACACGCTGACACCAGATGACATTAACACGCTGACACCAGTAATAGTTTAAAAAAATATATAATCACTTGTGTTGATGTCAGATATTATCGTATATCAGACATCTGATAGGCCAAATAAAGAGTATTGATACCTGTAAGCCTAGCGACGGAGTTCCATCTGCCTTCACCATGGAGGTTGACATATTCAATGAGCAATTTGTCTTCCTCAGAAGTCCAAGGTCCTTTCCTCCATCTATCTTCTTCTATAACACTCCATTCTGTGTTTCTTTCCATCACTCCTGAATACATATTAAAAGAAACTAATATTCTAATTTGGCTCTTAGATAAAGTTTGTTTGCTAAATTCTCTTGTGTTTGATTGTTTGTCACTGGTGTGGTGTGTTGTGTCTGCTATATATTTATACTTGTACCTGTGACTCAGCTTGTTTCTATCAGTCAACTAATATTTTTTTTTCTTATTACTATCCATATCCATTTAATTGTTTTTCGCAAGGTAATTAAGTTGTGTCACAAAATATATATTATAAAAGAAATTATTTTGGTTTTGTTTCAACTATTTCATTAAGTCCAATATTAAAGCTTTGGTTGCTATTGCATATAGTCGATTAGGGGTGTCTATAGATTGAGTTTGAATCTAATTTTATTGTCAAAATCAAATTGAATAAATCTGACTATTTATGATTGTGTTGAGTTGGATTTGTAGATTGTGTATATTTTTTTGATAATTGTTTTATTTTATTTTTAAAATTTTTATGCCACATTTTAATATAATTGCACAATTTCAAACACTTAAATTGGATTAAATATATTATATAATGTCTAATAAAGTTCACATATGTTATAACACATCATTTTTATAAAATTCAGAACATAATTCAAAACAACAACATTTAATTAGTATTAAAATTACATAAATTTATTGATTGAATATTCATCTAGTAAAATTATTGGTGATGAATAAGGGTGAAATAGGGTAGGTTATGCTATATTTTAAAATGCTTGAGTCTGAATTATAATAAATTTTTAAAGTTTGAGTTTGGCTAATGACCAATTATATAGTTCTTTTTGTTTACTTAAATTTTTAAAAAGTTTGGCCTAACTTAAAATTCTATTTAAAAGTCTATCTCACATTAAAGTTTTAAATAATCAATTTTTTTTTATATAAACAACAATATCTTTTATAAACTATTTATATATATATATATATATATATATATATATATATATATATATATATATATATATATATATATATATATATATATATATATATATATATATATATATATATGTGTGTGTGTGTGTTTTTTTTTTTTTTAATAACTTGAGTGTGACTAATTTAATTAAATAGATTTTAAAAAAAAATCTAAACTTAACATTTTTCATTAAATATGCTAGACCAGACCAAAATTAAATAGGCCAAACTATACAATCTAATTCATTCTCATTCTATACTAATTTTTTTAAATTTAAAATAATAATAAATAATAAATATTAATTTTAAATTAACGGATTGAAACAACATATCCATGACTTCAAACAAGTCAAATCCAATACCTGAATAAAGATATGTAGATTGTTGCAGGCTTGATTAAATATACTTATAAATAAACGAATTCGAGTAATAACTAAATTAATTTGATTTTGATTGACATATTCGCGAATCAAACCATACCATGAATATGTTAAATGTGTAGTTCTTTGTGTTAAACATGTTTGTAAAGTATAATAATCGACTGAGTCGGAGTCGAATATATTCGATAAATTAGTGGTTAAATATATGTTGTAATACTTGAATCTACATGTATTTGACAGAGAGTCGAATACAATTTTTAGTATACAGAGATGCATGTATTTGACAGAGAGTCGAATACAACTAGTCAAAGTCGAAGCAACATGTATTCGACAAAGTCGGATAGCAAATTGTCAAAGTTAGTTAGTTAGTTTGTGATTGCTTAACATGTAAGTCATCTCATTATAAATAAGGAAGTAACCTACATTTGTAACTGTACAATTTTCATTAAATTAAACACAATCTTCTTCCCTCCTCCAAAAACTCTAATTTTATCTCTCTTATCTTTGCTCTCTAAAACTATATCCTCTCTTCAAATCTTTGTGCGGCGGAATCATCTTACAACCAAAGCGTGATTGAATCACTCGATTGAAAAGTGAGGAACGAGAATCTTGAATCAATTGAGAAAGCGATTGAATCTTGTTCTATCAAGATCGGTTCCATCATCTAGTATCAGAGCCTGTTTGTGATTCTTGGAAAGTATAGAACAATAAATCCCATTTGAATGAACATTTTCTAGCAAATCTTTTCATCTTGAATGGCCAGAATTATGATAATTGGTGTAAGCAGATGAAGGTTTTCTTCTACTATCACGATAACTGGGATCTTGTAAAGAATGGAGCAACACTAATTGAAGAGAACGTCACGAATAAACAAAAAGTTGCACATAAAGATTTGAAGAAGAAAGATTATAAATCTCTCTTTATAATTCATCAGTGCTTTGATCTAGACAACTTTGAGAAATTTGGTGATGTAGACTCATCGAAGTAAGCATGGGACATTGTGGAGAAATCTTTGGGAGGTGCTAAGAAGGTGAAAGAGGCAAGGTTACAAATTCATAAAAGAACGTATGAGTTGCTTCATATGGAAGAAAGTGAAAGTGTGGTTGATTTCTTCATAGGGTAAGAAGACTGGTGAATCAAATCAAGGTGCGTGGAGAAGTGTCGACATCAAGATTGATAGTTGCAAAAATCTTGAGGTCATTACTTCTAAAATTTGATCATTTGGTAGTAGCCATAGGAGAATCGAAGGACCTGTTAAGCATGACAAAAAGAGCTTCAAGGGACTCTTGAATCTCATGAACAAAGAATTGCTGAAAGATTTGCAAGCAAGATGAAAGGTGTTGTAGCTCTGCAGGCATAATCAACAAAAGAAAATAAAGGTAGAGGAAACTGGAACGAAAACAAAGGTAAAGGCGATTACAACAATTCAAATGGTAGGAATTACCAACAAGAAATAAATTTTTCAAACCAAAGATAATCCACAAACTAAAGCAATCACAGAGGTAGTGTTGCAGGTAGAGGAAAAGATGGTGGAAAGAAACCGAATAAGAGATATTTAGTGTTTCAATTGTCAGAAACATGGTCACCATGCTAGTAATTGTCCAAAAAACAAAAGAAATAATCGAGAAGGTGATGCAAGACTCGCAAAATATGAAGAAGAAGAAATATTGTCGATGGTCACAATAAAAGAAGAAGAAATATTCAAAGATCAATGGTACTTAGACTCAGGTTGCTCATCACACATGATTGGAAGGAAATATTGGTTTATCAACGTCAGTCCATCGATGAAGAACAAGGTGAAATTTGCAAATGGAAATACCCTAGTTGCTGAAGGTATTGTTGATGTTCTGATCACGAGGAAAATGACAAACAATAATTAATTTCCAGTGTATTGTACATACCAACCATGAAAATCAATTTGCTTAGTATAGGGCAACTAATCAAGAAGAATTATAAAGTATTGATCAAAGATAAAATGATGAGAGTACTCAACTCAGGTGGAAAGTTAATCTTGAAGGCACATATGTTTCAAAATAGAACCTTCAATATTGAACTGGATGTGATGGATCACAAGTTTCTAGAAACTGCAACTAGCAGGGATGAATAGCTATGACACTACAAACTTGGCCATCTCAACTTCAAAGACATCAGAAATCTGAAGAGAAGAAATATGGTTCAAGGTTTACCAGAAATCAACATTTTATATGAAGTATGTGAAGAATGTCTTCAGGCAAAGAAACACAGGAACAACTTTAGCAAATATGCAGGAAGTAAGTCAAAATAAACCCTTGAGATCATACATTCAGATGTGTGTGGTCCTTTTTAGTTAGATTTGATTGGAGGTAACAAGTACTTTGTTACATTCATAGATGATTTCAGTAAAAAAATTATGGACATACTTATTCAAGAAGAAAAGTGATGTGATTGAGGTATTTGCCAAGTTCAAAGCTACGGTAGAGAGACAAAGTGGCCACAATATCAAGACTTTAAGGACTAGTGGTGGTGGAGAATATGTGTTGAAAGAATTTGATGCATTATATGAAAGAGAAAGGATTGTGGATGAGGTGGTTCCACTCTACACTCTACAAAAAATGGTACTGTTGAAAGGAAAAGCGTGACCATCACGAATATGGTAAGAAGTATGTTACCAAATGAGTTATGTGGTAAAGTTATGTCGATTGTAACATACATCTTAAACAGATGTCCAACGAAGAAGCTAGAAGGAATCACACCAGAAGAATGCTGGTTTGATGTTAAGTCAAGCTTAAATCATCTGAAAGTGTTTGGATCCATAACACATAGACATGTGCATGATCAGTTGAGAAGGAAAATTGATGACAAGTTGAGCCAGATGATCCTAATGGGATATCACTTGATTGATGGATATAAACTATTCGATCCTTTGAAGAATCAATTTATAATGAGCAGATATGTGATCATAGATGAGCTGAAGGAGTGAGATTTGAATGACAATGTAAAGAAGGATTTAGTGAAAATTCTACGTGATGAACCAACTAGTGAAGTTGACAGTGAAATTTGACCAGGAGGCGGTGGAGTTCAAGCAGGCACAATTAGACCTCAAAGGACAAGAAACATGTCTTAAAGGCTGTAGGAATGTGTAATCACGTCATATGATGTGGTAAACAATGAAAATAAGTTGGTACATTATTCTTTTTATGCATATATTGAGCCAGTCAATGTAATTTAGGCATTGAAGGACTCAAAGTTGATGCAAGCCATGATGGAGGAACTGAAGTCCATAGAAATAGACAAAACCCGACCACTATTCGAATTTCCACAAGGTAAAAAGGAAATTGATGTAAAGTGGGTTTACAAAGTGAAGCTGAATCCAAAAGGAGAAGTAACTAGACACAAAGAAAGACTTGTAGCCAAAGGATTTCTTCAGAAAGAAGGAATCAACTTTGATGAAGTTTTTGCACCATATGCTAGGATCGAAACAACCAGGTATGTTGTTAGCCTAGCAAACATGAAAAACTGGTATATGTGTCAGATGGATGTGAAATGTGTATTTCTGAATGGCCCCTTAGATGAAGAAGTTTATGTAGCATAACTAGTTGGTTTTGTGAAGCAAGGCAAAGAAAGCAAGGTATATAGGTTGCATAAAGCTCAGTATGGACTCAAACAAGCTCTAAGATCTTGGAATAATAAGCTATATGGATTTCTAAAAGAAAAAGAGTTTATAAAGTGCATAAC